AATGCATATCCATTTTTTTAATGGCACAATTCATAGTAACCAAACTACCGAACCAGCCTAAGTGTGCATCAGTGGATGAATGGATAAAGAAAATGTGTTATATATACACAATGGAGATTTATTCAGCCATAAAGAAAAATGAAATTACATTATTTTCTGGAAAATCAATGGAACTTGAGACCGTTGAGTTTAGTGAAAAAGCCTAACTCAGAAGGTCACAGGTCATATGTTTTCTCTCTTATGTGGAGTCTAGAGAGGAAAAAGAAAAAGGGATGCTCTTGTGAGAAGCAAAGAAATCAGTAGAACAGAAGAATGGTAGCAGGGTGTGGGAAGAGGGGAGGAAAGGGGCAAGTGCTATGGAGTGATATTAGCCAAATTATATTGTTACATTGTGTGCATGTACTAATTTGTAACACAAATTCCACCATTATGTGCAACTATAATGCACCAATTTGAAAAAGAAGATATAAACCTTCTTCTCTTCACTTTAACTCATACAGTTATTTTCTGATGATTTTCTCTTTCAAACCAGTTTATTTGGATAGACACAGCTTCGAAGTCCAGACGTTCCATATCATCCAAGCCCACAGAATGGGAAGTATCAGCCCACACATCAGGTCATACCTGATTTCATTTGGGTTTTGCAAACATGGCTCTTATGATTTGCCCAAAGTGAATACCACCAGAGTAACAGATAACACTGAAAATTTTCAAACACTCTCATGGGCAAGCACTCCAGAACAAAACTGTGCATTTTCCCCATTGACTTATTATGAACTTGCTAAGCAGGAAGGAGTGTGACTGAGAATTTAGATTGACTGATTTAGTTATTTCATCATCTATGGAAACCATGTGCCCTGCAAAAAGAAGCCATTAGCATTGCAACTGTGTTTGTCTTCTTACAATTCTAATAATTCCTAGTCTCTTTTCTTATTCAAAAATTTTATCTAGGTTAGGTGTCTAAGAGCCTTCTGTCCTGCCTCTGGACACTTCCTTGAAGCAGCCTAGGAAATGCCCCCGCTTTGGAGTTAGATAGATAGAATAAAGGTTTGTGGTTTTTTTTAAGAGGAGAAAGGAGAGAGAGAG